CATGATCACATGACCACTGAGCCCCGCCTACCCAGCTAGTCATTAGGGCAGAGAACTGATTGGTAAATTATTTGAATCCCACCACTGAGATGGCCACACGAATCAGCTGTGTTACTCCTCTGAAGAAACCCGGAAGTGAAGATTTCTTCAAACTGCGCACACGCAAACCGCGCAATCACCGAACTGGTTGTTCAACCGGGAGGATCCCACCACTGGTTCACACGGATGAGGTTATTTAGACGGGTGGCGAAACGTCTGTAAGAAAATCACCAAGCACAGAAAAAGAATACGAATAAAAGAATATAGATCAAATAATCCAGACGACACACTACAGAATGAAGGAGGGGAGAAATAGAAAAGGATTAATATGCAAATATACGTTTAAAAGGTGATATATGTGGAACGAATAGAATGGAAAATAAAATGAGGAAGAGGGAACTTAAGATTGTTATGTAAATACAGAAGCGGGTTTGCTATCCCGAAAATACCCCAGATTGAAGAGGAAAATATGTAAACACAACAACGGAAGGAGGGAAGGGAGAGAGGAGGAGAGGGAAAGGCAGGAAGAGGAAAGGAGAAGAGAGGGAAGGAGAGGGAAGGAAGAAAGGGAAAAGGAGAGGAAGAAATGGAGGGGAAGTAAGAGTAGGAGGGAGGGCAGGAAGGGGAAGAAGTGGGGGGAGTGGGGAGAGGAAGGGGAAGAAGACAAGGGAAAGGTGAGGAGGAGAGAAGAAAGTAGAGAAGAAGGGTGGGAAGGAGAAAAGGAGAGGGAAGAAGAAGTACAAGACAGAGGGATGGGATGGCAGGAAAGCAATCTTGATTATACTTTTAAATTTTTAGGCGGAGAAATGAATTGTTGTAAATGTTAAAAGCTAACACACAATATTAGTGGTGGGTTGCACCAATGGTTTCCTGCCTGGAAGGCTCCTAGGGTGCAGCTGAAAGGGAAAAGGGAAGCAGTATGCTCCCTCCTATATTTGGGTGCTTTCACTCACACACACACACACACAGACACACACACAATCAACAAGCTCAGAGAGTAGCTGCAACCTCAGAGGGTACTTTCATGCATGCCTCCTTGCATGCAAAGAAGATCAAAGCACCTCTGTCTTCTCAGCTGGCCCAGGAGGCTGTTCTCCGGCCACGTTGAGAGAGTTATTTCGGAACAAATGCACCCGTTGAATCGTCGGTTGCAATTTGATTGGGCATAGCCAGCAGGGGAAGCTAACCACCTCTCTTCGCTTTTTCCTACAGGAGCTTGGGAGTTCACTGCTCTAAAGTGCGGTCGCTGACGTTGGATTCCTGGGAGCCAGAATTATTGAAGGTAAAGGCCAAATCCACACACCCCCTCACTAGCTAAGTAGTCAAAAGAATAGAATAGAATAGAATAGAATAGAATAGAATAACAGAGTGGGAAGGGACCTTGGAGGTCTTCTAGACCAACCCCCTGCCTAGATAGGAAACCCTACACCACTACAGAGAAAGGATTATCCAACATCTTAAAAACTTCCAGTGTTGGAGCATTCACAACTTCTGGAGGCAACTTCTGTTCCACTGATTAATTGTTCTGACTATCAGGAAATTTCTCCTCAGTTCTAAGTTGCTTCTCTCCTTGATTAGTCTCCACCCACTGCTTCTTATACTTCCCCCAGGTGCTTTGGAGAATAGTTTGACTCCCTCTTCTTTGGGGCAACCCCTGAGATATTGGAAGACTGGTATATCTCCCCTAGTCCT